CGGATTATGGGGACCATGGTGGGGGTCTAGGGTTTAGGGTTTAGAGCTTGGGATTTAGGGTTTAGGGTTTAGGATTTAGGGTTTAGGGTTTAGGATTTAGGGTTTAGGGTTTAGGATTTAGGGTGTAGTTATGGGTAAGGAGTCCAAGCCCCCATTCCCTGCTGACCACCACTGCTTAGAGGGTTAGAAGCGACTAAGCAACATTGTAACCCTAAAAGACATACGATAACCCCAGATATCCTGACTTTTGATCGACTTTCTGAGCGCCCTGACTCTCCTGCCCTGAACCCTGAGCCCTACACCACATAACAGTTTCCATGTCCTTGCCCATTCTGAACCTTAAACCTCAAACCCACACCCAAAACCCTAAACCCTGAACCCTAAACCCTAAACCCTGAACCCTAAACCCTGAACCCTAAACCCTGAACCCTAATCCCTAAACCCTATGATGGCTTGGGTCCTTCTCGCCAGGCTCCTTTTGAGGCGCCAGGTCCCAGACACGGACCTTACACGCGGTTTAGGGTTTAGGGTTCAGCATCTCAAGTCCAAGCATTCACTTGTTAAGCAACGTTATCCAACAACAGAGAAATACCCACCTGCCCATTGGGTCCAACATCATTGAGAAAATTATTCCCTAACTTCTACATCTTGGACCCTAAACCCTAAATCCTGAATTCTCAACTTTAAACCCTGGACCTGTAATTCCAACCCTAGGCCCTAAACCCTAAACCCTAGGCTCTAAGCCCTAGGCCCTAAACCATAGGCCCTGAACTCTAGGGCCCCCTACACTCTAAGCCTTGAACCCTAAACTCTAAGCCTTGAACCCTAAACTTTAAGCACTGAACCTTAAACTTTAAACCCTAGGCCCTGAGCCCTAGGCCCTAAACCCTAGGCCCTAAACCCAAGCCCCAAATCCTTAACCCTAGGCCTAAATCCCAGGCCCTATATAAACCCTCAACACTAGGCCCTAAAGCCTAGGCCCTTAACCCCATACCTTAAGCCCTAGGCCCTAAACCCTAGGCCCTTACTTTGCCCACGAGATTCCGGACTTTGCCCACGAGATTCCGGACTTTGCCCACGAGATTCCGGACTTTGCCCACGAGATTCCGGACCTTGCCCACGAGATTCCGGACTTTGCCCACGAGAGTCCGGAGTTTGCCCACGAGATTCCGGACTTTGCCCACGAAATCATTAACGTTTAAGATACATATGATAGAGAGGTTTCAGGTTTAGGGTTTAGGGTATAAATTCCTGGTAGGGAGAATGGAAAAGAAAATGGAAGCTACTACTTTCTAGTAGGGAATATATTGGGGTTATATGAGCTTTGGTATAAACTCCCAGTATCCCCCTAAATAATGGAGAATCAGATGGAAAAGTAAATGGAAAATGACATGGAAACTGGTATTATATAGGGGATTATAGGGATTATAGTTTAAACTCCCAGTATCCCCCTTAATAAGCCTGACAATACTCCTCTATGTAATCCCCTATATAGCCCCTTTTAAGGGGTTTAGACTATAGCTCGCAAGAGGGACATAATATTTGGGCCGTATACGACTGGGGACTAAAGTTTTTGAGAAGCGCTCATATGTGCAGAAATTGATCCAATGGCATTGTTGCAAAACCTGCTTGCATTTTGAGATAGCCTCAGGAAGCGATGTGAAGATCTAGTTCATGTTTTGTGGCATAACCAGATGCTGGGGTCCTGTTAAAGAACCTAAGTTAGCATACCATTATGCAGAAACCATGTTATTAATTATGTATCCGCTTTATGGTGTCTGAGTTCTTGAACAGCAACACAGGAGAAAGGCACCCAGGATCCAAAGCATAGGAAACCCTTGCGACGACGTCGCTCCTCCAAATAAGATCATGTTATCTTAAGAAAATCGTACTCAAACTCAGGACTCTATAACCCAAATATGCTATAGCCCTGTTCGCACCGGCCGCGCAAAAAGGGACCCCTAATTGTTGGGAACCCTATTTCTGAGGCACCACCATAAACCGGCCCTAAACCCTAAAGCCTCAACTGTAAACCCCAAAATCTTGAGGTTCTACACACCTGGGAGGCCCTGACAAAGGAGTCCGGCCCGGCTGTGAGCAGCCACAGGCAAGGCCAATCCTTACTGGTGCTTAGGGGTCAGTGGGGGAGAGTAGTGGGGTATCGTCCCCCTTAGTAGATAGAATATGGAATATATGGGCGGGCTCTTATTATAATATACCCGAAGCCATATTCTATCTACTTCTACTTAGGGGGGACTATAGTTCTTTATTGCTGGGGGCGCGGGGGGGGATCTTATGTGGAGGGATCAGTGACACAAATACAATCGGAAAGCTTCATGCGCTCCAGGCATTATCTGGCACCGCTTGAAGTATTGTACTTTTATGCGTGCCAATACATGGGGGGTTCCCAAAATTTGGGCTATAGTCCCCCTTAAGTAGATAGAATCTGGCTTTGGGTATATTCTAATGAGATCCCCATGTACCCCATATTCTATCTGCTTAAGGAGGACTTTCCCTTTTTTGTGCGGTCTCTATTTTCAGGACCCTATTATTCTGGGGTCTGTATTGGGGTCCACCTAAGAAGGGAAACTACCAGATGAAGTAACCTACTTATGCAAGGTTACAACAGTAGTATAATGGACTTATCAACGGGATACAATACCGCTGGTAGGGACATACTGGGTGGGGCAAGATCTCCTTAGGGGATGGGAGCCTTCTATACCACCATAAAAGATTGCTTTTGGGATCGCAAAGGGGGGCATTACGAAAAAAAAACAACAATGACCCAGAGAAGGGATCTGTACCACTGTAATGCTGGACAGGTGCTGAGCCTTTGCGGCAACATGCCCGTTGCAGACTTCTTTGTTTCTCCTGAAGCTGGGCAACCCATAAATTCCTGGCTACACCCTCAAGTGCAGAAGTAGAATATCTTACTGTTTGGATTCTAGTCCTCGAAGCCAAAGAGCCATAAACACACAAAACCCCCAAACCTGAGGCAAAAAGTGAGTACCAGATCTTAGGCGGTGGCCACAATAGCAGACGTCGGCCCATCACCCTCTCCTGCAGCAGCACCTGGAATTTGAGCTTGTAGAATTCACGGTTAGGTTCAGTTCAGGGTTTAGGGTTTTGGGCTGTTGGTTGTGCATCCCGACAGTTGTCCGTGACAGACCTTCTTACAAGCGAACTTGGGATGTTGGAGCTTCCGGGTGCGAACTACTGCCAAGTGTACATGTGTCGAGCACAGCTAGTTCTGCCTCAACCCCCTCAACCTCCGGAACACACAACTCTACAGAAGGGCATGCTGCGCCGGCCTCACTTTCCTGTGGTAGTACTCTTGTCTATAGGACTTTGGGACTGCAATGCAGGGCCCTGAAAAATTAGCAATATCACTTTGAGTTCTATGTGACGTACCCTTTACCATAATTGTACAAAGAACCTACATTGACCCCTAAACCCTCCGACGCCCTGTTGCATGTGGCCTGGTAAACGTCGCACCAGTGCACCATCCGTCGTCTGGCCCCATGGGGTTCGTAGGGGATATATAGGGGTATATAGGGTTTAGGGTTTGGAAAGGCATTGGTTCAGGAAAGTTATTTGGGGATTTCTCGAGAGTGGGGATACCCTTAGGATCCACGCAAACGCGGCGGGTTTTAAGGGATACAGGCTTTTGGGGATTGGGGCTTGAGATTTCTCTCAATTTGCGGTTGTCCTTAGACTGTTTTGAGAGGGGGCTATCGAGGATTTACAGCGCTTAGGGTTTGGGGGTAATGTTGGGGTACCCCTAGGGACCCTACATGGACATGTGGGGATTACAAATGGACAGCTGCGGACCGCAGAGAAGTCCCGTTTGAGAACACATGAGAGAATAATTCACAACAGTACCCATGACAGTGTCTAGTCAGCAGGTGTTCGCAACCCTAAACCCTAGACCTTCAGTCTTGCCTTACCTGGCAAGTACTCTGGAATCTATGATGCGGCAGCTGCGATGATACGGTTGATGTGTAAAGAATCGAGGCTTGAGATTGCTTTTCAAACTCGGCCCCTCTGTACCACCTGTCATGTACTGGCTTTTCTACCCTATACCCTAGAATTTTTGTTGTGACACCCAGAGGCAAAGAGGTGGCAAGCAACAGGCATGCAGGATCGTACCGGACTTTGTGCAGGAAAGATCTGCCTGCGGGCTCATTAAGACGTCCCGTTTGTCGACATACCTCCAACCTGCATGCCAACGATCTGATTCCCAGCGGTCACTCATGCTTTCATTGTCCTCAAAGAATCGGGGCTTCCACTTCCTCAGTTCTGCATTGGCTACGGCTCATTCTAGTCGAATTTGTCGGCATGCATTGGGGGCTGCAGATATGAGAATGCCCTAAGAAACGGACGCAACGCCAAGTGACCCTAAAACCCTAAACCCTAAAACACTAAAACCCGAAACCCTAGAGCTACATGGAAAGAGGTTCCAAAGGTCACCTTGGGAATGGCTGGAACTCTGATAGCCCTCAGACCTACACCCTCAAACCCTTAAACTCTATAGGGCGGCCGGCGGCTTTAGGGTTTTAGGGCTACAGCCTTAGACCCTCAAATCCTTAAACACTAAACCCTCAAACGCCACACCTACACTCTTAAAACGACGCTCGCATACCAGAAAAGGATTTGACCCAGCAGAGGTGCAGGTGTACAAAGCAACACAAGCCAGGGCTGCCCACAGACAAACCTGATGAGCGTGATGCTAGCTGGGTTTAGGGTTTGGGTTCAGGGTTTAGGGTTTAGAGTTGAGACTTTGTGGTTTTCAGGTTGTAGCTTTGCTTGGCTTAAGCTCAGAGGAATGGACAATGGATATGATCAATCTCTCACTCACACTGAACACGGCTCAGGTGAATGCTTGAGGGTCCACTGCTTCTAGCTTTTATCTCTCACAGAGACTCCATCATCCCCCTGTCATACACATGTATCCCTAGGATCCCTACGGGCATCCCTTTTGAGACGCCCCAATTTAAGCGGGTGCTTCATTTGCTCGTTTTTGCGGATGAAGTTGCAAGATTCCACGCATAGAGCTCAGTCAAGTCCTGGAAACAAGAACCGGGAGAATGCTCGCGGTGATGTTACGAAGGTACGATGGGCGCATGTTAGGGTGCTGCGGAGATCTTTTTGAACACGCACACACACATATGTCAATGTAGATGTATACGTATGTATCCACATATATACGTATGTGCAGATTTGGGGGAAGCTTCTTGAGAGGATCCATTCCTTTGTTCCCACTCGGAGGATCAGGGGGACCGAGTCAGTAGGTTGATACTGGGGATAACTGTGCTTTTAGTACAGCTTTTCAACGGTTGTGACTATGATTACTCAGTCCCGCTGTCCCCAGACCCTGAATAGTTTGGCAGGCTCCATTTTCTTTCGAATCCTTGCGACCCTCCAAGCAGAGGCGAGATCAGTGGATCAATGCTGGCAAGGGACCAGCTCCTCAGTCAAACTGAGGCATCGGTTGCCTCCAGGTTCAAGAGACACCTTAGGTGCCAGCGTCAAAAAATGCTTGGTGAAGGGCTTGAGCCTAAAGTCTCAGGTCTAAGAGCTCAGGAAGGATGTGGTAGTTTCCGATTCACAGGGGGCCCCAAAGTCGACCCGGACATACTATAGTGTTTCTGGGCACCACCAAAAAGGGATCCACATTTCCGGAAACCCTACCCCGTAGAATTCCCGATAAATCCCATGTACCCCTAAATAAACCCCCTGGCAACTCTATCCCCGTATTTTCCAAGCTTAAGGGGGAATTTGTTCGTTGGACATCGAGCTTGGCAAGCCAAAGACTACGATACAAGATGGTGGCATATAGGCAACTGGGGGAATCAAATGGAAAAGAACATTTTAAAAAAAGCTGAAATGGAAACCCTAGGTCCCTGTAAAGGAGTATGTAGGGATATAATCCGGAATATACAAGGATTTATAGAAATCTATGGGGATTACGCAGGGTTTCCAGAAATTTGGATCCCTTCTTCGCATAAACGTCCAATAAGGAATCAACACGATTGCCACACGGTTGAGGGGTTAGGTCAGGTTCCCCAATCGCTGGTCCACCAACCATTTTTAGAGTGGATTTGACAACTCCCTCCACCTCGTGGTGTTTAAAAAAAAAGTGCGTGCCTCGAGGACACTACAACTCAGACCGATGCTGCCTGCACGAGGCCTTTGTGTCCGGGCAGGGTCCACAGCGCCTCACCGAACGCTGGCCATGTTCAGGTTCGGATTAAAAACCCTACAAACCCATTCAGGATTTTGAGGGCCAGAATTCTGCGCAGGGTGTGAGCCAAGGCTTCACTTCGTAGTTGAGGTCCCTGATTGGCCCTGACAACCTGCAAGACCCACTTTGCGAGGTGTGGAAAGCCCATGGCTTAAGTCCGATTCTCAAACTTCACAAAGAAAGACCTACCGCCAGCATGGACTTGCATCTTTTTCGCGTTGAGACTCAAAACTCATCAGCTTCGGTATTCACGCTCAGCCTGCTGGCTTAGACCTTCTGACCTTCGTGTTAAGTGGGCCTAAGCAGAACCCCTTCAAAGTCTCCCTCCGTGTACTCCATTTCTAGCCTCGGGGTCCTTCGGTTACCCCCATTCAAAAAAAAGCCCGTGGACCAACTGAGACCATCTTGCCGACCTCAGCTCGCGAGCATACGCCACAGAGAGAATCTAAAACTTCCATATCGGAGGTCCATGAACAAATCTTGCTGTGTCAGATTGCAGTTGTCATCCCTGATCTGTTCCCAAATAATCTTGTGACCCGTGCACTCTTTCTGTACAACAGTGCGTACCTTCGCAAGTCAGCCTTGGCCTTAACGAGAAGCGTAGCATGCTGAAGAGAGCCCTACACAGCCCAAGCTTTTCCACGACATGATATTCTTTGAAAGCTACACGCCTGTGTTAATTTGCGTCCCTTTAAATTGGGGCTTTATGGGTTGCCATGTCAAGTTGGATGGATTTGAGGGATGCAGTAAGTCTTGCTGTGCTCGTCTAGCCCCCCAAACTGGTAATAGGACGAGAAGAATGGCCTCTAAGGGCTTTTTGATTAATGTAGACCCTGATAATAAACCCCCCTCCTGAATAGGGATTATAAAAGGGATCCTAATATATATCCAGGCCCTTAAAAGGAGGGGGTTTATTAATCACGGGTCTACATTATACTTGCTAAGTCCACCCCAAACCCTAAACCCTAAACCCTAAACCCTGACAGGGAGAGAAGTGCTGTCAACTGCAGAATTTCCCCAGGCCTCTCGGAAGTCGAGGTCCCAAAGCGTGATTTGCCCATGTCCTTGCACAAGCGGTTTAGGGTTTAGGGTTTCGGGTTTAGGGTGGAAGGGCGGAGACCCGGAAATCTTGGAGTAAGAGTCTACCTAGGGCACCGAAAACCACCCAAAAAAGTACCTCGAAGCCAGGAAAAACTACAGTAGGGCATCAGGAAGAAAACACGGCAACCTTTTCGGGAAAAAGTGAGTTAATCGTGCAATTCCCGAAGTATCCCGTAGTTAAATTATAAAACTCCCGTACAACACATAATACCCCGTATTTTCCCACAACACACGAAATACGCACTTTCTTGAATCCATCAATAACCCATAATTAACCCATCTGCACCCCATAAAAAGACATGATCAGTTTGCGGGCTATGAGCATAAATCAAGGTAATTTCAAAAAAAACGTCTTTTGGCCGAAAAGACCAAATTTCTACGGTACCCTTTTTTTTTAGGGTATTGGGTCCCTAGGTAGGGTTTGGGTGTAGTGTTCACAGTTCGGGTGAAGGGTTCACGGCTTTAGTCCAGAATTTCCGGCTTTGTGGTCTCTATCACAAAACCTCATGTCTTCCGGCTTGGGGGGGTTTCTCGAAACCCCCTTTGCCTGCATGTGCCTAATATCTAGACCTTGTCCAGTATCCTAAGGAAAATAAAGGTTAACCTCGGGGTCTTACATATGGGTTTCAATACCCCAAACACCGGCCAAGGTTACATAGTGGACTATAGACCCGAAATACTACGTAAATCTTACAGTCCAACTCCCATGTGCAGCTGCCGCCAAGTAGCTCGACCCCGTGAAGGCCTGGGCAGTTACTATATGGTTTCCTTACCACCCCTTGTAACACTCCGCCAAGTTCTCCCTCAATTCGCCCAATCCAAGAGAAACCTGCTGGGATGGGAGAGCCGGACCATGAAGTCTGTGGCTTAGGGTTTAAGATCTGCCAGCAACCCCATAATTAGAAGGGTACCTTTTTTCCTAAAGTTCAGATTTAATCAGGAGGATCCAAAAAAGGAAAAAGTGTCCTACTGAAATACCTAGTCTGGGGTGGTTCCTAGGGCCTGAACGCATGGTAGGGAAAATAGAAACCTTAATCTTGTTAAGGATTTCACTTGATTCTCCATCACCTCTGGTTTCCCTACGACATCCCTATATAGACCATACCTAGCCCCTTTGTAGAACCACCAACCCTAAACCCTAAACCCTAAACCCCAAATCACCAGGATGCCCCCGTTGTTATGCCTGACTTGCTCCGGCTCTGACCTCGGGAGCCTTGGGGGACATCTTTCTAAGTGTTTGCCAATCCTTCCGGCTTCTAAATTGGGATTTAAAGATTTAGGGATTTAGGGATTTAGGGATTTAGGGTTTAGGGTTTAGGGGTTCAGGGGCTTAAGTCTGCTTAGCTGTCAACGTTGGAGGGCAGAGCTCTCAATCAAGTTTGGAGGCGATCGGCAAGGAGACCTTGCCACAGGGGCAATCTAGGGAATCTATAGGAATAGCAGCAAGTCTCTCTATCAAGTCCTGGGCTAGCCTACACGTCCCTAGACACTACACCCGAAGCCTTAAACCAGAAAAGCTATGTTCTGTAGCGCCTCCCTCTTCAGAACGAAACTCCAAATCCCAGCACATCCCTAAAGCCTGGATGCCCGTACATCTCTCATCCCCAGACTGGGTAGGAAAACACTCAAGTTATAATTCAGCTATATCTTATATCCTCCTCTAGTAAATACTGTCAGGAACACTCAGTGTTTCGTAATATACCTACCTAGCCCCCCAAACTCGAAAATCGTCTCTTACCCCAGTTTCCCTTTACAGCTCACGTTCTTTTCAGTTTGATGTTCCGCTGTTCTATTCCGCAACCCCCCCCTAAACCCTGAACCCTAAACCCTTCTCTTTTAAATTGCCCAAGAGGCCCGGCACTTCTGCCAGTCCACATCGCAGCTGCTCACAGTCCCTGGGCCGCCAGAGAAGTCCTGGCAAAAGACCCACCCTTCTGGCTGGTTGAGGCTTGAGGGGTTTGGGGTTGAGGGCGCCCTTAATCCCAAATACTACGTTCCCTTCACTTGTCCGTTCCTCTACAAAATCCCGAAATAGCCCCGATTTCAAGTGGCTGAAGTTTGGATTATCTTGCCGGTTTTGCCACGCGGTTTAGGGCTCAGGGTTAGCTCAGGGATTCCGTATCAAAGAGCATGCGCCCAAAACCCCTTCGATTTGGAGAGCTGCTTGAGCCCTCTAAATCCTGCACCCTAGGCCCTGGAACCCAGACCTTTGGCCGCAAAACTCGAGCCCCTCTCAGACCTCCAAGTGCCAAAGCCCAAAAACTTCAACCCCCCAAGAATCTGTGCTTCTGAAGCCCTAACCCCTAAACTCTCAACCTGTGTATCCCCTTAAAACCCTAAACCCTCCTATCCTTAGCATTGCAGAACCCTAAACCCTAAACCCTACACCAAACCCTGAACCTCCTGTCCTTAGCGTTGCGGAGATCTTGGAAATCCCAGAGACGCAGCCCCTCGAGCAAGCCGGCGCTCAGAAATCGCCTGGCGCGGAGTCGCCCAGGTGCAGGGTTTAATTAGAGGGTTTAAGGGTTTAAGGGTTTTGGGTTTAGGGGTTAAAGGGTTTAGGGGTTTAGGGGTTTAGGGTTTATAGGATCCTATACCTGCCCTCCTATTCCCTCGCCAAATTAAGGCAAATTTAGGGTTGATGGCCTTATGTGTGAGAAGGAGCAAGAGGAGTGTAGTTTAGGATCCCAAGAACTGGAGCTCGATTTAGATGACCTAAAGCCAAGAGCCGCCAAGATCAAACGTGGATATCTTGACGCGAGATTTCGTTCCATGGACGTAGCTGACATTCTGAGGTCTTAAACTAGGCTTCAAAGCATCCTAGGCGCCACATCTCAAGCGCAGAAGCTTTCAAACTCCAAACCTGGGGCCCCAACGCTACCCAAGACATCAGACGCTAAGCCTAAACCCGAGGCCCGGCCCTAAAGCCCACAACCCAAAACCTTGGAACCGTAAAACCTGCATAGTTCCCATAACCCGAGAAAGGCACCCAACCCACAGCCCCTACAACTGAACCCCTTCAGCGGGCCCTACAGTATCCCTTCTCCCCGAACCTCTGAATAAGGAACCCATACTTGGAGGGCCAGGGGCACTTAATAAGTAGGTTAATAATGGAAATAAGTGGGGTTGTTATATGGGTTATAGGGGTCATAAGTCTACTTACTAGGTCCCCCTGACCCTCCAAGTCATCCAGTACTATTTTACATTACGGAGATTCTTTGTTACAGGGGGGGCTGACTAATTATTAGTCCTAAACCCTAAACCCTAGATGATATGGTATTTTCCCACATATACCCTATATAACCTTGTATACACCCAGTTTGTTTCATTTTTCCATTTGGCTTCCCAGTGGTGATTTCCATGTTCTTTTCAGGTCGCTTATCTAGGCGTGTGGGGAGGCGGGGCTTCCCCAAACGCTAAAACCTTAAACCCTAAAGCCTAAACCATACACCCTTTTAAAGGGTGTTTAAGGTTTCGGGTTTAGGGTTTGACTTTTTAAAGGGACCTTAAACCCTAAAGCCAAAACCATACACCCTTTGAAAAGGTTGTTTAGGGTTTGGGGTTTAATTTTTTCAAAGGGAGGTGATTACAACCTGGCCTGGACTCCCAGGCCACCAGCAAACAGCTCACCGCGCTGCTGTGGGCACGGCAGATCCGGGAACTGGCAAAAGAATGCAGGGTTCAGGGTGGGGGGGGCGGGGGGGCGTTAGGGTTTTATGGTAACTTGGGGATTTAAATCTGAGAGACTTGATATTGGGGTTGCTGACCTTGGCCGTTTCTTATTTGGCAGCTACAGCTCGAAATTCGTAGCTAGTGTCATCGCATAGGACATTCCACACGGAGTTTGGGGTCTTGAAGGGCGGACTTGGGATTTGGGGGCTAAATTCTTCATCGCTTTAAGAGTTCGCATTCCATGACTGAGACCTACCTGTAGCTGGCTTTACCCACGGCTTAGGAGTCTCAACCCTAAACCCTAAACACCTTAAACTCCCTTCACTGGTAGGTAGAACAAGCCCTTAGACTGTATACCCCTATATACCCCTAATATATACCCCAATATACTATAATAGTTTCCATTTTCTTTTCCATTATTCCAATATAACCCCAATATATACCCCAATATAGAGTGTTGCAGGCAAACCCAACCTGCCCAGCTCCAGGTCCCAGAGACGGATGGTCCTCGCAAGCGTCACACGTGGCAAAACAAAAAAACTAAACAGTCTAAGGTTTAGGGTTTAGGTTTTAGGGCTTGCTTGCTTGCTTGGTCTTCGGTCCGTGTCTGAGTCAGACGCCTGGTACTACGAACAGAGCGAAACAGAGCTCAAACTGTACAAAGGAGTCACGTGCTGCGGTTGGCATCCAGCCAAAACCTACAAGCAGGTGACAACCAGCCTCTCTGGACGGCGGGCTCAGCCTCAACCATCAGGGAAGCCGCAAAATCCGCAACGCTGCAGCTTGATAAAGGCAGCAGTGGGCCATGGAGTCTAGTTGCGGGTAGACCCGGGGCGGGAGGAGGACTAGGGGTACCCCATGCACCTAAGTCTCCCTCGAGAATCTGATGCTCTTCCTGGGCAA